GCTACTATCTGTACAGACTCTGAGAATGAGCTTCTCTTTGAAAATCAAACAAATGCAAACTTTCCTTTTTAAAAAAAAAATCTGACAAAAAGTAGCAAAGCTTACATGCAGTCCTCTTCTTACCCTTAGTTAAAATCTAGATCACACAACTTATGCACAATAAGATATTTCTGACCACAAAGAATGCAATTCTGACTCTTGTCAAACAGTGTAATGGTTCTGTTAAAAAGAAATATGACAGATATGGAGATGCAGCTCTCCTTCTGAAGTAACAATTGAGCCAAACAGCAGAGAAACGAAGAAATTGAAGTTTTACTCTCACTAAAACGCAGAAGCCATGCAATAATAAAACAAAAAATAGAGGGGAAAAAAACACATTTAGCACTAATCTGGTAGAAACTGAATAAGAAATGTCACAATGACACAACAAAAGGCTCAGTGTTTTTTTTAAATCACTGTTCCCAACTCAAAATAAATACTAAACTACATTGTAAAAATATAAGTAAATAAAGGAGTTAATACTTCAAATTCATCCCAGTTTCAAGACAAACAAATCCCTCATATTAAAAGAAAAATCTCCTTCAAATAATTTTCAAATTTCTGCAAAAGTGAAGTAAAAGCTTCTTCTGATCATGACCCAGGAAGCTGATTCCACTGAATCCAAAAAGCTGAAATAAACAGACCATCAGGATTTCGATTCAATTCTATAAAAGACAAAGGAGGTTGTTTTTTTTTTCACTCCCCTCAATGCAGAAACGTGCCTCCCTGTACAGAAGATGATCAAAACTTTTCAGCATCACTTTGTTCCCTTCTGCAGGCATTTATTTGCCTGTCCAGTTAAAACCGATGACTGGAGCGACAAAAATCTCACTTTCTAAAAACGTCTCCCCACCCACCCCACCGTACCCCTTGCTCATTTTAGAACTTTTATTCCCAAGCTCCAAACAATAAACTGTCTGCATCTTATTCCTCTCGACTTTGTTCCGTACGACAGAAATGATTAAGTGGAAAGGCGCTCAACAAGCTGCAGGTTTTGATTCCTGTGCGTCTTTAATGTTTTCTTTTTTACGCACGACGAACCGCGCGCATAAAAAAACAAAAAACAAATAAACTCTCCAAACCTCTATCCGCACAGAGCACGTACCTGCTTCCACAGAAAGCTGTCCACTCCGTTTAACATCCAAGAAATGGCCACGTGGATGGCGGAGAGAATAACTCCAGTGATGACAGCGGCGCGCATCCTGACGGGCAGCAGCGTGTAGATGACATGGATGAAGAACACGGTCCACCAGATGCCCTCCGAGGCGCTGCGGGGCTGCACCAGCAGCACGCCGATCACCTGGATCACGATCACCAGCAGGATCACGGCGTAGCACACCATCCACATGTGGTCCTGGTGGAACGCGTTCCGGTTGCACACCACCATGAGCACCAGCGTGAGGAAGATGGCCAGGGAGAACACCACCACGTAGGTGACCGTCGGAGCTCCGGAGCAGTGGAAGGCCAGCATGACGGTGAAGACCAGCACCAGCACCCCCATCAGCATGGTCAGGCTGCTCTGGTTGAGGCGGAAGAAGTAGCGTTGGTAGAGCCGCTCCAGCTTCTCCGACTGGAACTTCTTGGACTTGAAGACGTGCATGACGCTGACGCAGCACGCCACTAGGGAGACGTTCACCTCCGGCATGACCCCGTCTTCCTCCCGCTCTCCCTTGTTGTTGTCGCTCCGCGACTTGGCTCGGCGCTCCTCCAGACCCAGCTCCACGGACTTGGGTCTCACCTCGGCCAGGTCGGCGCGCTTCGCGGACGCGGGGTTGCTGTTGCCGCGGCTCTCCGGCTCCTCGCCATGGTCCTGCCAAGCCGAGCGGGACCTGAAGCTGACCCTGCTGCTGACGGTTGTGGAGGCTCGCCCTGGAGGAGGCCGGCGCTCCGGATCGACATCCTCCGCCTCCTCCTCCCCCTGCTGCTGCTGCTGCTGCTGCCTCCAGCGGCTGTTGGTGCGGGTGAGCAAGTTGCGCGGAGATCTGGCTGAGTATGGGCACCCGTTGGCCACAGAGTCAGCCTCTCCCCAGGCTGACCTGTGCTCGGTCCCTCCCCTCAGCCCGGGCGCACCGAGTCCGGGCGGGCTGACGCTGTTTGATCTGGACATTGTGGATGGAGGACACAACGGATAAACAGTCACACAGGAAAAGTTTCGCTCCACTGACGACGTAAGGAGGAGGAGGGGAGGGGGGGGGGGGAAAAAAAAAAGTCAGGGGACTATTCAGTCACAAGGTTGACTCGGTTTAAATGTCTCATACAAAGTGAGCTCTTCATCTTTGGGGACGATCTAAACATATTTAATGCCAACAAACAAACAAAAACATTAATTTTGAAAAAAGTGGCCCAAAACAATCCTTTGGGGGTAAAAAAAAAAAAAGGAAATCAATTGAACATGACAAGTCACAGGGGGGAAGCAGCGCTGGATCCAGGTGGATTTGGCTCTACATCATCGAGGCCCCAATTAGCGCTCATCCGTGGAGAGGTTGCACGGCAGCGCGCCTTGTAAATGGAATAAATGCATTACACAACTCGAAAGATCCCCGGAGATCATAGCGCAGCGCCATCAGTTACACCGTGAATCCATTACGGCCGATCTGCTTCCTGTACTCCTGTGGTCGCCTCCTGCGACGAGCATCGAAACAAAACCAAAAAAATAAATAAATAAAATAAATAAATAAATCGAGGTCGCATGTTGGCACCTACGATCTCCATGCACCTGTGCTCTGCAAAAAAAAAAAAAAAAAAAAACGTTTCACCCTTGACGGTAGCCACACGTTTGGCCAAAACGAGGCATCATCATCATCATCATCATCATCATCATCATCATCACCACCATCATCATTATCATCATCATCAACATCACGATCATCTCACAACAGGGGAGCAAAGAGGAGAGAGCTCAGCCGCTCCTCCTTCTCCTCGTCCTCCTTTGGCAGTCGTGGTCAACCGCACAGCGTGTGTCGCCGCGCCAGCAGCTCATTGTCAGCCCGCTAACGCCGCAAAGTCGATGACCAACAGCTGTCCATCATCGCCGCTCAGATCGCTCACTGCCGAGGTGTCCGGCGGGCTGCAGGCTGTGGATCCGCAAGCCGGACAGCGGCGAGCATTTCACAGGGAGCGTCGGCGCCCTTCGGGTGCTCAGAGCGTGCTCCCGCAGCCTCCGGCGAGAGCCGTCGGTGTCCGTTCCGAGCGTGGCATCACAAACAAATCCACACCCCCCCAATGAACAGACAGATCCCCGCCGCCGCCGCTGCCGCCGATTGTCGCTCCGATGATCATTCAACCAAGTGTGCTTCCTGTGGCCCGCCTTTCCGCCGCGCTTCCATTGGAAAGGGGAAGAGGGTGAGTCACTCTCCGGCGAGCTTCTATTGGATCGCGGGCCAGTCAGTCTCTCTCCTCTCCTCCTCCCCCCCACACCACCACGCGCCCACGATCCGGAGGCTGCGCGACCCCCACGGACGCCTTTCGATGAATTGGCGGAACTCGGTGGCCCCGCAGTTGGGAAAGCCCGCACACGCAAAAACCACGTATGATGGACCAACCAAGGGGTCGGATGTTTTTCCTCTTCGCTCCGATGGTTTCTGGACCTCAATAGTCAACACCTTCTAACTCCAAAAGAATAATAAAAAAATATATACATACTCTACTGCAGTTTTACTTTTCTCAGTGGTCTCCTGTTCGTGGTTGAAAACTTAAAAGGCTCTTTTCATTCATTAGTTAATGATGTTCTACCCTCTTCAGTTCAGTTCAGCTCTTCAGCTGTTTTTAAATTGTAAATCAGTTTTCCTTTTTTTTTTTAATATAATAAAAAGCCTGTATTAAATTAGACTACTTCGGTCATTAATCGTTTTACAGTCGCAGTGGCGATTCCTGGAAGAACGGGGCCAAGGGCGAGCCACATTTAACAGGCCCCATTCCAAACCCAGTTTTACATTTCCAAATTACACAAGGAAGATACACAAGAAAGCAAAAGATAAAAGCGACATCTTTCAAATTTACAACCAGATATTTGGATTTGTCATCTACTGTTCCTAAATGGTCTTTTTTTTAATAAGGTGGTATTTATTAAAGTGTGTATTTGTTTAATTTCAACAAGCTTTTTGGTTGTGTCTTAAAAAATGTCAAGAAAAAATTCTTCAGTCATTTTTGTTTGGAAAGTAGCCTTACAGGTCATGCTATTGTGGTAATTTATTCAAATCAAAAGCCGTGGTGGCTCTTGGATTAATGTTGCCATGCAGGGGCGCATTTCTCACAACCTTCGCTCAACTAAAAACGTATGTAATCGTTATTCAACACTTCATTTAGTCAAGTCTTGTGTTGTTCCTTACTGCAGAGGCGAGACAAACGGAAATCTCCAGATTTAGACCACTCTCGAAATAAACACGATCGAACAAACTAAACAGTAAAACAAAAACTGACAAGACCGATGTCACAGTCTGCTTTCATCCCATACATTGTACTTCCTAGAGGAAGTTGTTGCTTTTCCCCGTCACAACAGTGCGCGCACTGAACAACCTTCTGCCTCCAGGTGTGTTAGACTGAATTCTCTAGGATCTAATAATAGTGGATGTGACTGAATATGAACCGATCTGTTCTAATGTATTTCAGTGTAGAAATTGAATCTGTTTTTCTTATAAGGCGCTTTGTGATGACCTTTGCTGTGAATTGGAATCACGTAAACTGATCTTTTGAAGATATCTTTCAGTCTGTAGCTTTATGTCCGTATGAGTTTAGCTTTTCAAGTAAGTCGATCTTTAATGTGAGTGGACCAGGAGTCAAATGCTTTGTGTTCGCTCTGCATTTCTTTTTTTTTCAGAATAAATAATCCAGAAACTCACATATCTTAGTGAAAGGTGACTCCTGACTCGTCCAAACAAACAAAATGAAGGTTTAACAACGTTCACACTGCGTTCTTAAAGAAGCTCCAGTTCAGTCTACATTAGCAGGATATGCCAACAAGCAAGTGAAGATACTGGAACTGCCAGCTAATGTTTGTTTTGTTTTGTTTTTTCCCATAGAGGTCATCTCTCATCCCCAAGGCGATGGTGCCCTGGGCGGTGAGCCCAGTCACCCATATGAATACCTGACACTGGTCAAATGATTTTACCGCCGCGCTTCCATAATGCGCCTCATAATGCGCCTCGACTCTACCAAACACCCGTCCTTATTGGAAACTTAGCAACTTTATTCACATATTTAGGAATGAAAAGTAAGCATTTGGCTGGTTCGAGCCCATGTTAGGTGCTAATGAGAATAAAGCGGAAGCATGTGATGGCGAGCCGCATGTCTCGGCCATGACCGTCTCACCTCCAGCTGTGCTCCTTGTGCCCCCTCTGGAATCCGCTCAGAGTGAAACACTGTCGGCTTTAGAGAACAATGGCCTCCATTCAGATCTCCGTCAAATAAAAAAATAAATAAAAATAAAAAAAAAACTGGGAGCTCAGATAGATATCGGACACAGAATGATCTCGGTCCGAGTTGTGCAACTTTTCTCTTGCTCATCTTATGACTGTTTGCTTGCTTGGTTCTCTTAGATGTCAGCAGCAACACGAGATGTTGGTGGGGTTGAGGTGACGGAAATAGATGGAAAAGTGAAAAATTCAATTTTATGGTGGCAGTTTTAGACATTCGGTCAATTTACAAGAGTTTGCATTTACAAACTCTTGTAACTCGTAGGCTTTCGTTCATTCGTGAAATTAAATTGTCACGTGAATCGTGTTTGGGGCTTTCTTCCACAAACACGACATGAATGATCGTGTCGGTGACGAAATCAAAATCAAGATGATCGATTCACAGTTTTAAGATACAGATCGAAACCGTCGAGTCCTTCACTGAACGGCCATGTTTACTTATTTATTTGATGTCACAATATTATTTTTACCTGCCAGAGTCGTCTACAGCAGAAGGAGGGACCGGGTTGGTCGGCATGCGTTTTTGTCTGTCGGCCATATTGGCTTTAACAAAGATCATTTCTTGCATTTGCAGCTGATGGCCAGTAGTTGATCGTGTATTTTATGATGCATTAGTGTCTACTTCACTGGTCTGTGTGCATTTATAACATAAAAATCCACAAGAAGCACAAGAAAATGGCTTTTAGATAGTTGTAGTGACCACTATGCATGAAAAGGTTATATTTTTTTGCAGTTTCTAAGTCACAGTTCTTTAAGAAGCGAAGAAGCCAATATGAAATGGGAACGTTTTCAATGATTGCTGTCCCATGCATTAGCACCCATACACTTACCTAAAAACATACAGACGTAATAAACAAACTACAGTGATAAAATTGCCCATCCCTGAACTTGTACGCCTCAGGAAACTTTGACCTGGCTTTACCATTTATAGTGTTTGTCTACCACTTCAGAGATGTTGCTCTCAGTTGTTTTACTCTTTTGGCATAACAACATTGGTATTCAGTGAGGTCCCAAGAGTAGCTCAGTCTTTCAACAAAAAAAAAAAAAATGTTTTGTAGAATCAGTCTGCATTACTACATCCGTTTACCTGGAAGTGAGTGGAAAACCTGAATGAATTGTAGAATACAGGGCATTAAACGGTAGACTTAGGTTTGCTGTCGTCTCCCCATGACGACTCAAACACAAAGACTTTATCCTCTTTGGACTTGCTGGTTCACATGAAAGGCTAATATATACTAAATATATATAAAGAGAGGACCTTCACTGTGGCTTTCCACTCTTCTAATTTTCATACAGCTGCATTTCTTTTTCATGAATAGCAGCCTGGTTAGTTAATGGATTTAAAGACTCTTTGCTGCTTGTATGACATGCAGTGTTTCCTCCTACATGCTGTTAAAGTGACTCACAGGGACATTAAGTCAAAACACACAAAACAGTCGTTCACTCTCTGTGCGCAGATAATGAGGGGTATTACAACAGCAATTATCAATTTTAATGATAGCAACACAAACACAACAGCGAATGTGCTTTACCATGTTTAAGGTTTATTGTAAATATATATATGTATACTCAGTGATCATACCCGTCAGTCTGCTGACGTCCTGCAGAGGTTTGGTATCAAAACTTTTATTCGACAGAACCAGATGTAAAGAAAAATACCATGCTTACGTTTTATTTTTTCCCCCATTTTTTTTCTTTTTGTTTGTTTGTTTCTTGGGTTATGAGACAAGTCATCGTTCGAAGCGTCTACATCAACGCCTTCATGCAGTTTTCAGATGTGTTGTGCCGAGTATCTCCAACAAACCAGGCAAATCATGCTCAACCGTCGATGAAGGAGAATGGAAACAACAGCTAACTGATCTGACAAAGGAGATCTGAATGCAATACAGGAAACTTTGTTTTTCTAGAGCACGTGTGTCAAACTCGAGGCCCGTGGGCCAAATCTGGCCCACCGTAGCTTTTTATGGGGGCCCTCTAAACACCAAGTGTGCTTAAATATTATGTTCTCAATCAAATCAATGCAGTTTTTATCTGTTTACTGCCAAATTATATCAATCAGTCCCTCCAGTTTCTTGAGAATTATCGTGGAAATTCACGTAAATTCAACAAACCGCAGCACTTTTTTGTGCTAATAATTGGGAGTTTATTGCAGATTTTTCTCAAAAATTGTCAAAAACTTTCTTAGTACTACACAGCTGCCTCAGTCTTAACTGATGTCAGATTATAGTCCATGATCTATGCAGCGAGTAATAAAAAGTCACATTTACTGTCATAAATGAGCGTAAATATCGCAAATATTTCCAAATGAGTGCCACAAACACTTTGGTTTTTACTGCAAAAAAATCACAAAAAGAATCATAAAATCCTGGAGGGACTGAAAAGATATTCAGTAATATTGTTTAAGAATGTAATGATATTCTAACAGTTTGTAATCAGGTTTTATCAATAAATTCTGGCACAACCGGCCCTTTAAGAGCATTCATGACCTTGATTTGACCCAAAACCAAAATGAGTTTGACACCGCTGGTCTAGAGAGAGAGATCAGCATTAAAAAAAATTAAATAGAGCAAGATCTCAACTTGAAGATGGTGTCGGCTTTGCTCTGAAAACATTAACATATTCCTCAGCAAAGAGAAAGCAGTCAGTGCCTTGTAAAACTATTCCCACGCAGTTACTGCTCCAGATTTGATGCGACAGAGTAACACAAAGTGGTGCATGGTTGTGAAGTAGAAGAAAAACGACAATTTTCAAAAAAGTATACATCAAAAAAAAAATCTGAAAAAGTTTATATTCAGCCCCTTTTACCACTGGTCTATGTAAAATCTAGCAGACTACACTTTCCACATCTTTTTTTTTTTTAAAAAACATTTATATTTTCTTCCCACTTTGAAATTATGCACCACTTTGTGTTGTGTTATCACATAAAACTCAATAGACGTTTGTGATTGTGACTAAAACAATAAAGGTCAAGAATACTTTCTGAAGACCCGGTGGCCTCTCAGTTCACCCACACGGAGTAAACATCTGCATTCACAGGAACAGCTCTGAGATTCCTGCCTTCGCGCATGATCGGCTACCAGCTTTTCACAAAACCAGCTTTTCGATTGTTGTGTGAAATCCACACGTCCCTGCGGCAGTGTGTCCGGCAGCAGAGATGAAAACATAGAAGCTACAAACAGAGTGGTCAGTAGGGTGACACCACTGATAAATTATGTTTTAATTATATAAAAAAAACCAAAACAGTTGTAAACCATTTTGTGATTCACTGCTGCACCGCATGATGGACGTTGTCTTTGAGGAACCTAAAACCTTAACTTTCAGACGTCCTACTCCAACTTCCAGACATATACGTGGCTAGATATCAGATATCAGATGTGTGTACCTCAGTCTTATAAAAATAAAACAAAATATAGCAGAAAGGTAGAAAGTTTGAATAGTCTTTTTGTTAGCTCGTTAAGTGTGACAGTTTCAGCTCACGGAAAAGAGAAAGGTCAAAACTCAAAAATCAACTCCAGACATAATTTACCCACAAACACAAGCTTTTCACTTGAGAATATTACTTCAGCTCACACACCTCAATATTTAACCACACATTTTAAGCAAAGCAATTCTGTCATCTTTTTTTTTTTTAAATAGAAGTCAACAAATTTAAACATCCAACACTTATTTAGGCTACAATTGTCTTAGATAATCAAAGCTCATCTCATTTTAAAACACTTTTTTGCTACAGCATGTTGTGCTATCAGTTGTTTTTTATGCCAAACTGTACCGCTTCTTCTTCTTCAGTAAAAGGAAACAAAATGGTGAAAACCTACAAAAGGAAGTTCAGTCAAAAATATCACGTTGAACAGAAGAGAAACATGGAAACAAAGATGGACCAGGTATTTGAACATAAACCGAAGAAACAGTCAGATCATGCAGGACACCATTCATGATGGAAAGAGCAGACAAATGAATCACTACACAGTGCTTCGCAAAAGCATTCTTGCCCCTTGAGCAATGTATTCAATGTATTTTAGCAAGATTTTGTGCCATTTTTGTGAAAATTACATAAGGAGTGGTGAGAAGAAAGCCGTATGCAGATGGAACGTCGTCGTTAGCAGGAACGGTGAGGCTGGATGGAGCCAAACAGAGAGAAGCTGCTAGACTGGGGATTGGAGTGGACCTTCACTGTGAAGATACGGTGAAGATTTAGATTGACGTGTGTGTTAATGAGTTAGAACACACCAGATCTAAAATCAATCAAATTGAAAATCTAAGGTAAAACCTAAAAATTGATCTTCACAGATGCGATCGATCCAATCTGGCTGAGCTTGGGCCAATTTGTTAAGACGAAGAGGAGAATTCATCTCAACATGTGGGGACAAGTCTAAAACGTTTTGGTTAATAACTGTGGGAGGATGTGGTTCTGCAAAATATACATTGCACAAGTAAAAAAAAATAAATAAATGTAATCGTATATTACTTCTGCATCACAATTATGGCCAGCCGTGTGGTGATCCATCAATTTCTCCTTGGCACAAAGCAAACTTTAGCAAGGCACTGTACTATAACGTAAGCCAAACGAATAAACAGACACAAAATTAAAATAATAATAATAATAAAACAAAAAGAAAAAACAAGCATGCAAGCATGGGATGGAAAACAAAAAAGTTTATTGAGCTAAATGTGGAATGTAGTCAAATTTTTCAATAAATTACACAAAATGGAAATCATCAAATCAATTTGTACAAAGGATGCAAAACCTACAGACACCAACTCTCAGTGCTAGGCTCCAACTCATTCTTTCTACATTACAGTAGCCTAAAGCAAACCACGAGGGGATCAAAGACAATAAATGAATAAACAAAAGTCAGTGGGAGGTGAGGATCCGAGTCAACTCTCCACTTCGGTGTTGTTTATTAGGAGGTCAAAGGTCGATTAGTGTATCATTCTGTTCAGATTAGCTTTGTCCAAGCTCTGCTCGATGCTCACAGAGCAGCTCATCGTTTCTTTAAACTTCAATGTAATCACAATTTGTTCATAAATATGCAAAAAAAAAAACAAAAACAAAAGTTTATCCATAATGTCTGTATGACGTACTTAGATTGCTGTAAAAATTTAAATTATTAAAATGAAGTGTGTGGATGATAGGATGATCTACGGGGCGGGGGGAGGGGAGGGTTCGGTTTTGGCAGTTTGAAAACTAAAAATACTGATTTGTTCTTTATGGGATGTTTTGGTTGCTTTCCTCTCATGTGAGCCGTTCTGAGCGCCGCACAGCTCACTCCACTTTGCTGTAGTCGTCTGTGTGGCCCAGCACCTTCTTCCTCTGCCGCATCATGTGGAAGTACAGCTGGGGAAAGACTGAGGGGAGAGGCGTCGTTATGGCCAGCGCAGGGAAAATGAGTGAATCTGAAGAAAAAAAAACGCTAACTTCTTGAACCGAGAGGAGATTCGCAGCATCTAGAGTAACGTTGCAGATGAGCAGAAGAGGCAACGACCACAACTACATGAAAAAAAAAAAACTAAATCGCAGGAGGAAAAATAAGAAGATCGCCAGTTATCCGATAACGACACTGGACGATAAATTGTCTCAGAAGTTATTGCGATAAACGGTAACGTTGTTTTGAGAACATTTTCAAGTGATACAATGGTAATGGCATAATAATGCAAAAGCACATTCTCAATATACTTTAAATTCTAGTGAACATCCAAAATGAATAAAAAAAAACAACAAATAAAAGAAAATATGAATTTTCTGTAAACAAAATTGTCCTTCAAAAGAAAAGCTAGTTGAGACAAATGCACCAGGCTGGAGATTTTTGTCGTTAAGTTTTTGGTAGAGAATAGAAAGGAGGAAATTATTGACCTGGTTTTAATTTATCACGCAATTAACAGATCCCCTTCTTTTATTACATTTGAATAAATATTTAATAATATAATTTTCCAGTAAAACTAATTTGATCATAATATAAGTGAAATAGAAAACACAAGCGAATGAGGTTTATTTGAAGATCCCTTAACTTAAAGCCACAGCACTATATTTAATTCCAAAAGAAAAAAACTGTCACCGTTTATTATTCTGCCAGGAAACTTTGACATTTATGATGATTACAGCTCTAAATGTCTCAACAGGGCTCCCTACACAAACAGTTCTCCCAGACGGCACACAGCCTGACACAATATACTTCTAAACCTGCTCAGGAAACACTGCAGCCTTCACTGCTACCATGGTAATCATTAATACCAATAATCATTTTGCCCCAACCACAATAATAATTTTTAAAAAAAGTTTCTGTTGTTTTGATTTTAAACTGAGCAAAAGCACAAAACTGCATTGTGGGAAATGTGTCCTATCTCATAATTTCTTTGCTTTAGGAGTGTAAACATTTTCTAATCGTGACACCCAACCCCACTTCCTGCTTTGTTCATTATACCTCTGAAATCACAACTTAGAATCAGGAACTAACGCAAAACTTAAACAACTTCCAGTGAGAAATTTAAAAAACAAGATGGATCTAGTGATTGATATGCAAAGTGCTCCTGCAATTGTAATACATTTCAGAGGAAGAGGTAGTACTGGTCTGCGAGTGTTTCTCATAGGGATGCAACGATCCACTGTTTTCACTCCCGGTACCGATACGGACATCTGAGGTTTAGTGTTGGCTGATGTCATCCGATACATAAAAACAGTGCTGAACTGACTTAAAGCGTTTCTTTTTTTTAAAAACATAAATGTACTAAATTACACATTTTTTGGGTCAAGCACGTAAAAAACAACACAGTATTAACAGCCAATGTAAAATAAATAATAAAGAAACTGATAACAGGCTGACTACCCGGCTCAAACTGCAGCAAACCTTTCAAATTGTTCAGAAAGTGCAATTAGGAGTGTAAAATAAATAATAAAGCATGTAGTCACTGAAAGCACAAAGCATAGAATTAGACTGAATAGATCTGCCCTTAGGGACAGGGGAACACTGTCACTGATACCTGATCTAGAATTTTTTTATTCTGAGTTGTTTCTACTATTGTTTAAAAATTAAGATTTTTCTAATTATATGATCTGATGGTAAACACTCTCCCCATAAACTGATAACTTTGTGAAACTCCCAAAAAAGCAACCCGTTTCTTAATTGGTATTCATCAGATTTACATATAAATTTCACATTGCAGTAGTGATTTACGCATTCGCTACATCTTCTTTGCTCTCCAAATCATCACTTTATCTCGGCAGGAAGAACTCAAAAGGCCTGATGCTTCGAAAACTGAAAAATACGTTCTTCCTCTTTCTTTTTTTTAATTTTATTTCCTTATGCGGTAAAAAAAACGGTAAAAACCCCCCCAAAAAAACAAACCCAAACTGTGCTCGCTTACTCACGGGGAATGTAGGAGATCATGACGAGGATGAGGAAGCTGTAGTAGTCGAAGGAGAAGTTGTACTTGTTGGGGAGGGTGACGGAGTACAGGCCCGTCTTCTGCACGTACGGCAGAGCTGCGTAGATGGTCAGCAGTTCTCCGCTCACTCCCATCGGATACAGAACGATGAAGAAGGTGTACCTGCAGGGAAAGGTTCAGACAGAAAACGGCACGGGGAAATAAATGATCATTCTTAATACTTTATTATTGACTGCTCCTGCAACGAGGCGCTGAGTGGTGGGCGGCATCACTATGCTGTAGGTTGGAACAAAAAAGAAAAAAGAAAAGTGTTTTCAAAACTTGCAGCTAAGGCTAAAAATACCAGATTGTTTTATTTGATCAGATAAAAAAATAAAAAATAAAAATGTGATTTGGATTCAGTTCTTGTAAGGTCAACCAAAGGGAACACAAACAAACATTTAAAGTGGTGATAAAAAATGCGGTTTGGAGCCAACAGGAGAATAAAGCAAGAATAAACCAACTTTAATGATGCATGTTATCACCTCATAGGAATCAATAATAAGTAGATAAAAGAAACACTAGAGATGCAAAGCTGCTTCTGGAAGCTTTAAGATTTTTATTAATATAAAAAAAAATCCAGTGATCTGTTAATTTTCACACCATGTGAAGAAAGACTAGTGCAGATGAGAAATTAATTATGAGCGGTGTGCTG